CCCCCCCCCCCCCCCCCCCCCCCCCCAGGCGATAAATAATGACCGGTCCCTTACCTAAATGAATGTTCAGGGGCCATGAATTGGGAACCTATTGCGCTTTGGCAGCTATGTCATTGTTTACTCTTAGCTCATTAGTATCTTTTGATTTAAGTTTCTATATGTTACGTAACCTTCATTCAATAGTATCTTTAGCTTTATTTCTGTGCTGTGTATTTTGTATTTTAATTCGCTACGTACCCTTGATTGTTCACTATTATCCTTTGTTTTCTGTTCAACTTGTTATGTAACCTTTGTATATTTAGTGTTAATTTAGTAATTGTTGTGCCGAGTATATTAGTCTTGAAAATCAAGAAATGATCGTAGCAGTGAACCCAATTTATGCAATTGCGCAAAGAAGCCTGAAAAAAAATTCGGGACTTCAACGGGGTTCGAACCCGTGACCTCGCGATTACCGGTGCGATGCTCTACCAACTGAGCTATGAAGCCACTGACGTTGGGAGCAGGTTCAGGCTTCTTTACGCAATTGCATAAATTGCGTTCACTGCGACGATCATTTCTTCATTTTCATTTCATTTCGCAGTTCATATATCGTCAATACATGTCGCACGAAATTTTTGCGGGAGTTTATTTTTGCGAATTGGCGATTTTTTGTGTTTTGCGGGAACTAATTTTTGCGATTTTCAGAAACTACCCAGTGCCCAGCATTGATGATATTTTCGTTTTTATTGAGTACGTGCAATAGGATTACATTTTTTCAGTTTTTCAGTTCTGAATGCAAGAGACAAGTTGTGATTGAACAGACACGATTTCTTAGTACTGTTTTTGTGTGGCGAATTTAAGTTAGCAAATATCAGGAGGGTCATGGGCTCCTGAAAATGTTCACTTTATAGTAAATATTTGCGGGAAAATTTTTTTGCGGTAGTTTTTATTTTGCGGATGGCTGGAAAAATCGCAAAAACCGCAAAAATTAGAACCCGCAAAAATTTCCTGTCACAGGGTGTTCAAATGTTTCATAATAGTAATCACTTTCTTACTTCCAATGCAGTGAGTGTAAGGATCATGTAAAATATCTAGGTGTCTTACTGGTCAGTCATTTGAGCTGGAAACAACAACGTCAAAGCGAATGTTTGAAAGCTAGACCTGAACTTCGAGGCAATTAAAGAATTCATGGAAAATCCCTCTTTATAAAAGCAAATAGCTTAGGGAAAAACACCCATTTTCTTAAATTAACCCACTGAGAAAGAGATCTGGAGGTCCAATGATTTCTTAAACCGCGACTAAGTTAGACTTCGTTTAAATAACTGACCCTAAATCTCTAGTCGACAGATATGCCCAAAGACAGGAGCTCTTATTAAATCGTAACAAATAGAAGCGTAGTTAAAGCAACGTGTCCCTCGTGCAAGCCACAAACTTTTGTTGTCAGTATCAGTAGCTGTGATCTTTCATGGAATCAGATTATTGAGGGCTAATAAAGTCCTAGGGCTGGTTAAACGGTGATTCAGGTATCTTAAGGATATTGTTACTAAGAGAACACTATACTGCAGTCTTGTAAGACCACATGGAGTATTTTTCTGAAATTTGGCGTCCTCACACATAGCGTAGTGTTGTTGAATTGGAGGCTGTCCTGAGGAGGGCAAACAGGTATTTAGTTAAACTAATGGGCAATATGACATTAATTGTTCTTACTTTGTAAAGTTTGGTGCATCAATGCTCCAAGATACAATACATGATGTCCTTCGTTGGTCTCACGACAACAGATTCAAACTGAACTCACTTAAGGGCAAGGAACTCAGAATAGACTTTCGTAGGGAAAGTAACTTGGACACTGTTTGTCTTAAGGCTAATGGTAACGCTTTTGAAATTGTGAAATCAGCTAAAATATTAGGCGTCACTGAAAGGCTAAAACTATTTCAACTTTCAAGAAGAGGGTTTCCTCTTTTCCGAGAGAGAACAATTAGATATAACATGTTTTCTTTGATATGTAAAGACCGCTTTCTATGCAACAGTTGACATACAAGTATGGTTGTTGGGTTGTTCAGGTTGATCATTATTAAAGTTTAAAATGATTACTGTGCAAGAGACTTATTTATTTAATAATATATGTTATTGGTTTATTTATTATTAAATTAAGTGAACAGTGATGTTTACAAAAAATGTTATGGCCCTCCCCAAAGCCCAGCTTAAATTTTTGGTGACCCTGCCCTTTTTGGCTACATAAAATTTAATGTCCCTCCTCCCCCCCCAACCCCCCCCCCCCCCCCCCCCCCCCCACCCCCCAACTCTAATAATTGACAGGTCCCTAATTATTTATTTTATAGGAGGTTGCAGGATATACTCATTTTGATGTTTAAAGTAAAAAACAAATTAACAACTAACCAAATTGCGGATATTTTTAATATCAACGAGGAGAATACTAATAGTAAGAGATATAACCTAAGAAATGCAGATTTTGTCTTACCTCGGTTTAAAACTGTTACTTATGGAAGACATTCTCTCAGTTTTCTCGGACCACAATTGTGGTCAAAATTAAGCAAGGAGGAGAGAAATATTGTAACTTTGGCAACTTTTAGGACAATGATACGTAAGAAGGATGTAACATCATTTCTCGAAGGATGTGGGAGTGAATGCCGCTTATGCTTAGGTTAACTGGACGTACCCATATTTACTTACTCATTTTAGCGTCCGAGCTCATATATGCATTTAGCTTTTATATTGTTAATTTAGAGCTTAGCTTCAAAGTGTTAAAGAGTAAATTTAGAACTTAGTTTTAAAGTGTAAAAGAGTACTTAGCTTGAATAGTGTCAATTTCCGGCTTTTTTATATGTTTTTTAGTATTTAATTAGTTTCTTTTAATGATGTAATTTAGTTTTAAAGGTGTCCCCAATCAGTGCCAATAGGCACTAGAACGATTAGACACTTTAATAAAGGTTATGTATGTATGTATGTATGAATGTTAATAAAGTTAATAAGATTCAAAACTTATACATTTTTACGTTTAATTGTCTTGCAGAAGACATGTTCATCGCGGGAAAATTGCAGGAGGTTATGCAAGCCTAAAAAGTCAGGTCTATAGGCACTACTGTTGCGACGTTTCTTATTAACACCAATCGGGTTGTAAAAGCCATCCAGTTAGCCGAAGAATGCCTCATTTTCCTGAACAACTCGGTGCTGAGGGAAAATGCCAAAATCTTCAATGGAAACTATTGGTACATAAGTATTATAATTACCAGCGCTTATGGATATTATATTTATGATTACACAAGAGCAATTGAATGGGGCGAAAAAAGTCTTGAGGCCATGGTCCAATTATTTGGAGAATTTAGTGATGAGGTGGGCTTAGCAACCATGATGCTGGCATTTTTGTATCATCAGCAACTTAAGTATGGGAAAGCAAAGGAACTGTATGAGAAAGCACTGCGCATCAAGCAAGAGACTGGTGACAGAAAAACTGAAGCAACGTGTTATGGTCGCCTCGGGGGACTCTTTCATCATCTCGGTCAATACCATAACTCGAAGAAATATCTCGAAAAGGCTCTTGAGATAAGAAAAGAAATTGGTGACAGAATGGGAATAGCTGAATGCTATGGACACCTAGGGCTTGTATTTGAATCACTCGGACAGTATGACAAGGCCATGGAATATATTGACAAGTCACTTGTCATAAGAAGAGAAATAGGAGACAGAAAAGGAGAGGCAATAGATTACATATACGCAGGAAAAGTGTCTTACTCAGTTGGTGAGTATGCTGACGGTAAAAATTTCGCGCAGAAAGCACTCACAATTCAAAAGGAAATCGGCCACAGACAAGGCGAGCTTAGGTCTTATAACTCTTTAGCCATATTCTTCTTGAACCATGGTCAATATGCGAAGGCTGCACAATACTTACGGGAGTCTCTTTTGATAGCGAAAGAAACGGGACAAAAGGACGCGGAGATCTTTTGTTATCTAAACCTAGGAAATGCTTACTGTAATCTTGGAGAATATGCTGAGGCTAAGGAGAATATGGAAGAAGCACTTAAAATAAGTAAAGGAACTGGGGAAGTCGAAAGACAGGTTGCGTGCCACTACAACCTCGCATGTGTTATGATATATGAAGGAAAAACAGAGGAGTGTATTTCGTACCTTTTTTCAAGCATCCAAAACTGCGAGGACTTACGCACTCTTTTAGGGGACCATGACCCGCATAAGGTGTCTCTTTTAGACAAACACTTCCATCCCTACCAAGTTCTCAGTAAGGTGTTTTGTCATAGAGGAGATTATGTTAAAGCATTGTACGTTTTAGAACTTGGACGAGCCAGGGCTTTAACAGAGTTAATGTCGACTCAGTATTTTGCTGGAAAGCAAATTACATTAGATCCACAATCATGGATGGGCATTGAGGGGATCATCAAGAAAGGAAGTAACTTTACTTGTCTGTACATATCATATTTCGTGCTGAATATTTATTTGTGGATTTTGAATCAGAAACAGTCAGTGCATTTCCGACATGTAAACAAAAGTGAAACTGTTTCGACTATCGGACCGGTGGAAAATTTGAACGCCTTTCTAAGAAACCCACCCTTTAGAGGGTGTCAGAAGCTACCTCAAGGGCATTGCGAGGATCGATCAATGTTCCCGTTGGTCGCTCGCTCCTCGTCGTTTCAAGCTCAGGAAGATAGCGTTGCATCTCTCCGCCTTGTTGAATTGGATGAAGACGATCAAGAACAAGAACCGAGACCAACTCTTGAGCTACTTTACAAGATTTTCATCGCGCCAGTGGCTGACCTGCTTGACGAGCCCGAAATTCTCATTGTTCCTGATCGTTCCTTGTACAAAATTCCATTTGCAGCGTTAAAGGATGAAAATGGGAGTTATCTTTCAGAGACTTTCAGGATCCGCGTTGTTCCATCTTTGACGACTCTTAAGCTCATTCAGGATAGACGAGCAACCCAGTGTAATGATAGGAGTGTGTTGATAGTGGATGATCCTGATGTTAGCTGTGTGAGTGAGTTCTCTCAACTGTCTTTTGCAAGAAAGGAGGCAAAAATGATCGCCGAATGGTTAGGTGTTGAACCTTTGTTAGGGTGTCAAGCAACAAAGCAGGCGGTACTTGAAGCGATACATTCAGCAAGTTTGATACATTTTGCTGCACATGGTGATGCCGAAAGAGGAGAAATTGTTCTTGCTCCAGTGCGACCTGTCAACAGGCCTTTGCATAAAGACGATTACGTGTTAACAACGGCTGACGTTTCCGAAGTTAAACTTACGGCGAAACTAGTTGTCTTAAGCTGTTGTCACAGCGCACTTTGACACATTAGAGCGGAGGGAGTGGTTGGCATTGCCCGAGCGTTTCTAGGATCCGGTGCACGCTCAGTGTTGGTGGCGTTGTGGGCCATAGAAGACGAAGCAACAGAGCAGTTTATGGGGCGCTTCTACGATCACCTTGTGCGCGGTGAAAGTGCAACTGAATCTCTTCACCAGGCCATGAAGTGGATGCGAGAGAACGGCTTCCCTGAAGTGAGGAAGTGGGCGCCTTTTATGCTAATTGGAGACAACGTGACGTTTGATTTNCGTTGTGGGCCATAGAAGACGAAGCAACAGAGCAGTTTATGGGGCGCTTCTACGATCACCTTGTGCGCGGTGAAAGTGCAACTGAATCTCTTCACCAGGCCATGAAGTGGATGCGAGAGAACGGCTTCCCTGAAGTGAGGAAGTGGGCGCCTTTTATGCTAATTGGAGACAACGTGACGTTTGATTTCGGAAAGTAAAGGTTAGTCTTCTGACGCAGAAATATGAAAAACATATTCGTGTGCATAGTTTGTCAGTTGAGATTCTTTGTTTCACCTCCTTCAACAACAGCCTGGTTTCCAGGGTTTTCCTTCAGAAAATTGGGAGAGGTGGCCCCTCTCAATTTCCAGAGAGAGAAATTGCGAACGAGCTTGCTTCAACAAGCAATCTGTACTTATTTGAATAAGTATCCTTTCACGTCAAGTCACACGAACAATGGTTACTCGTCAGTATTTCCTAGTTTCTAAAATCCTGTCAATGCGTCCCCTGAATGGCTAAAAACATGACGAGATTTTCAGATATGAAAATTTCTGAGATTTTTTGTTTACGTTTGCATTAAGGAAATGTGGTGCCGGGCCAAACGGGGTGATCTTGAGGCGTGGTTTCACAGTCAGGTTACAGGCTTAGATTAAATGTAAGGCGTCTCTCTTTCATAATGCAATCTTTACAGGCAGCAATTTTGACTCCTGAAGGAGGATCAAGAGGTTATCCCTATATTAAGATCTCCCCTTATAAATAACCCACCCAGCCCTGGAAAGGTTGGCCACACTCCCGTGGTCTACGTCCCTGCTCTTTTCGAACAGTGGTGTGGGTTCTTTTACGTCCCACAAGAGCCGGATATTTGAAAGTGCTGTGGGACGGGACCTAGGGTTTTTCGTCCTTATTCGAGAAGACTAGAAACACGCAGAGAGTCTAACCGTTTGTAGATGTCATTACATGGCAGCACTTTCTTCTCGAGTTTTTCAAAGACCCTGAGTGTTGTGTTTGTCCGGCCTGGGTTAATCCCGCTACCTCCCGCTCAGCAGACCGGCGCTCTCCCAACTGAGCTAACCAGGTGGCGATTCTGTAAAGTTATGAGAGCAAAAGACACACCCAACAAATGAAAATGACTTAATTACAGTGGAACCCCGCTCTACGGACACTCGCTTAATGCGGACACCTGTATATAACGGACAGTGTCGTTTGTCCGGACGAAAAAGAAAGTTCATATATTTTTTCTAAAATTAACCAGCTTAATAAATAAATAAAATAAATAAAAGGTCTTTATTGTTTTTTAAGCAAAAATACATGCTAAAACCAAAAACACTTACATTAAAAATAGCAGAAAGAATTACAAGGCCGGCTTAAAAAATTCCATGTGGAAGCATTGAATTTAACATTCAACATCCGCATTACATTAAATAGCTACTCTATATTTGAAAAACAGCCTATTAAAAAAACTATTTCAAAACGCTGGGTATTAACCCTAGGAAGTTGACTGTTAGGAACTCGGAGGCGCGCTGAACTGAAACTGGAACCGGGCATACTGGAGATCTTCTTGAATAGTGAGCGATCTATTGGCTCTTCTAATCCGTTATATATGTCAATTTGGTACGAAGTATATTTGCGTTTAAAGCAGCGCTGTAGAAAATTCTGGACCGTTGTTAATTCAGGTATTGAGGAGGCGTATACAGGTAGACCGTAAGTTAGTACTATAGCATGTCCCGTCGGTGTCCGTATTAACGGGGTTCTACTTAGTTGATCTTACAAAATACATCCTGCCTGTACTATACGTATGCAAACACCAACATTTCGCGACAAGAGAGCTATTGTGATTTGGTCCTTATTTGGTCATGAAGCAAAAAAGTACGTTATCTGAGAACCTTCTTGCTCCATTTCTTGTTCTCAGTCTAAGTAATGACAACGGATTAAAACTAAACTATAAATTTGACAAACCCCGAGGTAAAGGTGTATAGTAGTGCACCTTCAATGCAATGATTTACTTAGAAATCTCCGAGACCTGGAAATATGTTTTGGATGCTTTGACTAGCACGATATTTACAATATAAGTGAAAGGGTGAGTTCTGCAAGTAATGATTAAGAGTGGTTGTCAGAGAAAACCGGGCAAAATGTTAAAAATGTCAACGGAAGGGGGTCAACAGAATAAGTTCATACTAACATCATAGATAGGTTAGGTGGAGTATTGGGCAAATATAATAAACATAGGTTCTTCAGTGCTCTTGTATTAGAGATACGAGCATCACTTTATTCGACCCCCTCGGACGCCATTTTTATAAGCAAATTTTCACCATTTTCTGAAACTCACAGAACCCTCAAAATTTAACGGGCGAAGTTTATTTTTTGTATGCCATACAACACATCATAGAACTACTTTCTAAAACCATAAGAATTGTTAAGCAGCCACGGACAAGACTAAAATTTTCTTATTTCATCTGACCTAAACTCAGTGTCTGCAAACGAGCAAAAAATCGGGCATTTTTGAATTGATCTACAGCGCACAACTAAAACGACAGAACAACTCTGACAGCCAAATTGCAGTCTACTATCATCCATGTAACCAAAACACTAATAATCATTTTGGGCCATTGAAACAGGAAGAAATTAGAAAACTCACATTTGTTATAGTTTCCAAGCTTTTTCT